TGAAGGGTGTTCTCTCCTACACCGACCACGAGCTGGTGTCCATGGACTTCGTTCACAACGTGAACTCCTCCATCTACGACTCTAAGGCCACTCTGCAGAACAACCTGCCGGGCGAGAAGCGATTCTTCAAGGTCGTGTCCTGGTACGGCAAAGAGTGGGGATATTCCAACAGGGTGGTGGATCTGCTGATGCAGCTGATCAGGGCATAAGCCCGAGCACATCGAATCCATTTTGCGCGGAGAGCGGAGCTCTCATCGCCTGTCAACAAACTTCGCGCAGTGCAGTCAGCACACCGACACTGGCAGTTTGAATCGTCGCCAGGAAAACGAAGAGCCGTCCATTGACACTCCGGACTCCTGCGCCGATTGGCTTTAGATTGTAGCTTGACCTTTGCGGCAATGGCAGTCCGTGCTCGCACATCTCATGCGGCTGCAGTGCTCCATTCTTGCTAGTGACTGCTAGTGCATCCCCGAACTCTTGTCCCATTGTCGAACTTGCAATGGCGGTGAAGATCGGCATCAACGGATTTGGACGCATCGGTCGCATGGTTTTCCAGGCCCGGGAAGCCGAGCTGATGGCTGGGTCTCTGCAAGATTCTGCAAGAGCTGCACCAGCGGGCACATTTGGATTCAGATGGTAAGCCGTCTCTGTATGTCACGGGTAGCAGTGATAGCTGAAGACAAGCTGCTGTCGTCGCAAACCTTGCAAGCTTGTAGGAAGCCCGAAGCGCCTTGCAAGGCCATCTGCGACCAGGGACTTTTGGGCTCCAAGCTCGACGTCGTCGGCGTGGTCGATATGTCCACCGACGCGGAGCATCTCGGCTGTCTCCTGTGTCAGCATGGATCAACTAGACTTCCCGACTCCTTCATGATAGCCAGCCCAGAGCCCAGCACGATCCGACATAAGGTACTTCGCTTACCAGATGAAGTATGCCGCACTCCGAGTTTTTCAGCAGATGCAAGACGCCTTCATTCTCGTCACTCGTGGTCACTCGTGCACCTGTGCCGTCACATGTGATCAGATGTGCAGCCCTTGCCCAGGACACCGTTCATGGCCAGTTCAAGCACGACGTGAAGATCGGTGAGAAGGACGAGCTGATCGTGAACGGAAACAAGATCAAGCAACTTGGCAGCGTTGTCCTGCTGAGCCTGGCACTGCAGTAGCAGTAGCAATGGTCGCAGGTGCATCCAGGCCAGCCGCGAAGGCCCCAAGGCTTTGCCTTGGAAGGAGCCTTTGCTCTTGAAGCCGTCGAGACGCCAAGCCTGACATCTTGAAAGTCTTGACAGGACATGGGGGTGAAGTATGTCATCGAGTCCACTGGCCTCTTCGTGGAGTACGAGTGGCTCGTCGACATACTGTCGGTTCACGGAGTTGTGCCGTGTGTCCGAGCAGTGCTAGCGGGCTGGCTCTGAGGAAGGCAGTCGGCCACATCGAGGCAGGTGCAGAGAAGGTGATCATCTCGGCCCCGGGCAAGGGCAACCTGAGCCTTGGACTTCAGTTCAAGCGGTTTGGAGGGGGCCTCCCTGCTCCTCACATGATTCGGACTAGCCGACTAGCCCATTCTCCCTGTGTTGAGTTGTTGCGTCGTTGCGGGTGCAAGGAAGACCCTGGTCTGCGGCGTGAACCACACGGAGTACGACAAGGCCGCCCCAGGGTCTCTTGCTTTGCTGTCGCGCAGCGCTGTCTATTTACTTGTGAAGAATCTATTGATTCTAGCTCTGGGGCAGTGGAAGGCCA